CACACCGTCTGTTGCTGTTAGCAGGCCAGTGCTTGTTTGTGCTGGATTGCGTTGTGTCACATATGGGCTTATACTTGGTGTTAAGTACCATGTATTAGCTCTAATACAGCTCTATGTACACTCGTATACATATAGTTTTTGTATAAAAGTATTTGTCTAAGAGGAGCTGTAGGAGATGAGAGATCGGGCCACGGGGATCTTGAGCCCCGGAGTCACGGCAAGGTATGGTATCTATGATGTATACTCATTTCTACCCGTAGAATCGAGCTTTAGTTCTTGGACTTCGCCTTTCTATCCACTGCATGGTTACCTAATACAACGGCTAGTAGGCGGGGCAAGAAGAGCTAGACCTCACCTTCCCGTAGTCACTGATATGTATGTACAAATAGGTCAGCACTCCAGACCTATTTATCTCAATTATTTTTTAAAATTAAAAATGGTTGTGTGCGCCCTATGGTACTTGTCATGGAAATAACCTGAGTGCCTCATAACTTACCCATCAGAATGCGTGTCTTCCCCCCCCCCCCTCTGATCCCTCTTTTGAGCCGGTCACTCAGACACCAGTGATCACTCGCCCCAGAGTGGGCTTCAGGTATTAATTCACTAATATATGCCTCAATTCAGAGTTCACACCAGCACATTTCTCAGAGTAATAGAGTCTTGTGAGATCAACCTTTCACTCCACGCTTTCCCTCCCTCTCCTGTCTTCCTCACTCCTCGCTTTCCCTCCCTCTCCTGTCTTCCTCACTCCTCGCTTACTGTTCCTCACCCCCCCCCCCCCCACTGTTGGGGCGACCAAGGGGGTTCCCAGGAGCAGAAGGTCAAGCGTGAGCCAGCAGGTGTAGGGCTCTCCACACCGTCGCCAACACTTACGCCTGGTCTTGTGAGACTGCTGGAGCCTAGCGCCCGGGGGGCTGCTGGAGCCTAGCGCCCGGGGGCTGCAGGAGCCTAGCGCCCGGGGGCTGCAGGAGCCTAGCGCCCGGGGGGCTGCTGGAGCCTAGCGCCCGGGGGGCTGCAGGAGCCTAGCGCCCGGGGGGCTGCTGGAGCCGAGCGCCCGGGGGGCTGCGGGAGCCTAGCGCCCGGGGGGCTGCAGGAGCCTAGCGCCCGGGGGGCTGCAGGAGCCTAGCGCCCGGGGGGCTGCAGGAGCCTAGCGCCCGGGGGCTGCAGGAGCCTAGCGCCCGGGGGGCTGCAGGAGCCTAGCGCCCGGGGGGCTGCAGGAGCCTAGCGCCCGGGGGCTGCAGGAGCCTAGCGCCCGGGGGGCTGCAGGAGCCTAGCGCCCGGGGGGCTGCAGGAGCCTAGCGCCCGGGGGGCTGCAGGAGCCTAGCGCCCGGGGGGCTGCAGGAGCCTAGCGCCCGGGGGCTGCAGGAGCCTAGCGCCCGGGGGGCTGCTGGAGCCTAGCGCCCGGGGGCTGCAGGAGCCTAGCGCCCGGGGGGCTGCAGGAGCCTAGCGCCCGGGGGGCTGCTGGAGCCTAGCGCCCGGGGGGCTGCAGGAGCCTAGCGCCCGGGGGCTGCAGGAATCATCAACACAAGTACTTACACATCTCTGGATCTTTTTCTCAATCTTTGGCGGCATTGTTTACATATATTACACTGTTTGTGAACTCCAAACCACTAGGTGGCTGTTCTTAACAGTAACAACATGTAATTGGTTAATTTCGACATTCTTCAACTGTTTAATCAGTTTAAACAAAGTCGCCAAAGATTGAGAAAAGCTCAGGTTAGCAAGTTGATGGGTAAATGCTAATTCAATTCTGGTCCAGGTAAACTCTGAGGGTTCAAAAAGAACTTCAAACTGGATTTTAAGCTTTATGTTCTCGACTCTCAATCGAGGGACCAGAGTTCAACCCCGGGTCGGACAGAAACGGTTGGGCACGTCTCCATTCAACTGATGCATCTGTTCACCGAGTTAGTAAATAGGTACTTGAGAACTAGATAACTGTTGTGGGTTACATGCTGGAAAAGGTCAGTAGTTGGCCTAGAGGGTCGTGTACAAGCCTCAGTACAACCTTCCTCTCCCCGACGACGGGAATTATCAGCTCAATATCGCAAAAGCCTAGAATTTTTCACACGAGAATGTAATGCCAAAATGCTTATCTAGAAATTCCACACTTGCTTTGGTTAAATATTAAATTAGGTAGCAACCTGCGGACCTGCGCGACGCCGATGATGATGATGATGATGATGATGATGATAATGATGATTTAAGCCACCCAAGAGGCGGCACAGGCATGAATAGCCCGTAAGTGGTATAGATGTTTGGAGTGAATGTGATGAATATGCCTAATTTTTGTTGTGAATATGAATTTTTTGTTGTTGGTTTAGATTCAGCTACTCGGAACCAAAAGTTGGCAGCAGCACGGGCTATGGTGAGCCCGTCGTGCTCACCTGGCACAGGAGAGGTGCGACACACCCGCAAGGCCTTGAAATGGCTGTTTTATAGGTGCGTGCAACGACAAATTATGTCCATTGTGAAGTGCAAATATTTGCACACGTGTGGGACAATCTTTAGAGCAGGGCGGTGGGATCGTACCCACGTTCGTGCTTAAGACGTGCTTCTAGGGGTGAGCCAGGACGCGGATTCCATACCATGGAATCTCTGCTGTAGAGGTTTTTCCCTAGATACATCAGGCTATTGTGATTTCATTGCGCATGTGTTCGAAACGTCAATGCCAGCCCCTTGACAAACACATCCTCGACAGTCATGTACTCATTAAAAAAGTGAATCACAACCTCATGAATACAACATGGAAGACAAAATCTTAAAACCTCATGATCTCATAAATTACAAGCGGCGAACACGCACCTAATCTGATGACTCATAATATCAGAACACGAACTGGATTCTCATGACTTGAGAAAGTCCTTGAGGGCGCTAATCCCATGATCACGATGACTCTTTTTGATGATAATTGACCGTGATGGTACGTGATGACAATAGCCAGGTTGATCAGAGGTCGGGAGGGAGCAGGGGGGAAGGAAAGGAAAAGGAATGAGGAGGAGAAGAGGAAGAAGGAATGAGGAGAAGGGAGGAAACAAGAGAAGGGCAAGCAAAAACGAAGAGGCAGGAGGAGAAGGAGGAGGAGGAAGAGGAGGAGGATGTATATATTGTGGCCCAATTGTGCTTTGTTTGGCCTGAGGCAGATTACACGGTGCGTCAGTGTGGCTTCCCCGGGTCGTTGACTCCTCCACTCTCCACCACCACCACCCTCCACCACAATTCTCCTCCATTCTCCACCACAGTTCTCCTCCATTCTCCACCACAGTTCTCCTCCATTCTCCACCAACCACCTCTCTCATTATTATTATTATTATTATTATTATTATTGGCTTCCCCGGGCTCTATGTTAGCCCGGAATATGCAGCACCGGCCTGAAATCCATGAGGATTCTTCCACTTACAAGAAAAAGTTCTTTCTTACGAAGCATAAAACCAAAACTGAAAAGAAGAAAAGGTTTACAAGAAGACTGGTGCCAGAGCCAAGAGGTTTAAGCTGTGAGGACAGGTTAAGGGCGCTAGAGGTCTCGTGTCCCTGGAGGAGAAACAAGACGAGGGTGACATGACAGCAACATACAAGATAGTGAGGGGATTGGTCAAGGTGGGACAAGGACAGCCTCTTTAAAGTGATAGAAACTAAGACGAGAGGACACAGGTGGGAACTGGAAACGCAAATGAGTTGATGAAACGTAAGAAAATGTTGTGACCCTGGACGGTGGTCAACACGTGGAGGGACCCGAAGTAAGTTGTGGAAGTAGGCATAGTGTAGGTGGGGCATAGTGTAGGTGGGGCATAGTGTAGGTGGGGCATTGTGTAGGTGGGGCATAGTGTAGGTGGGGCATAGTGTAGGTGGGGCATAGTGTAGGTGGGGCATAGTGTAGGTGGGGCATAGTGTAGGTGGGGGCATAGTGTAGGTGGGGCATAGTGTAGGTGGGGGCATAGTGTAGGTGGGGCATAGTGTAGGTGGGGCATAGTGTAGGTGGGGCATTGTGTAGGTGGGGCATAGTGTAGGTGGGGCATAGTGTAGGTGGGGCATAGTGTAGGTGGGGCATAGTGTAGGCGGGGCATAGTGTAGGTGGGGCATAGTGTAGGTGGGGCATAGTGTAGGCGGGGCATAGTGTAGGCGGGGCATAGTGTAGGTGGGGCATAGTGTAGGTGGGGCATAGTGTAGTTGGGGCATAGTGTAGGTGGGGCATAGTGTAGGTGGGGCATAGTGTAGGTGGGGCATAGTGTAGGTGGGGCATAGTGTAGGTGGGGCATAGTGTAGGTGGGGCATAGTGTAGGTGGGGCATGAAGAACTACACCTCCCCCACCCACCCCTCCCCAGTAGTCACTGATAGGTACTCCACTGTACAACATTCAGCTCTTCACTGTACAAAGTGTTGCACTGCACTGTACAACGTGTTGCCCCCTACACTGTACAACGTGTTGCCCCCTACACTGTACAACGTGTTGCCCCCTACACTGTACAACGTGTTGCCCCTTACACTGTACAACGTGTTGCCCCTTACACTGTACAACGTGTTGCCCCTTACACTGTACAACGTGTTGCCCTTTACACTGTACAACGTGTTGCCCTATATTGCAACTGCAGGCTAGAGTCAAGCCTCGTAACAGCCTGGACAAACCTGTGATACAGAGTGGACATCCTTAGAAAAACTTTCACTCTTATCAGGGAGGAGGGAGATTCCCTCTCATGTCACTGTCGGCCGTTGTGTAGACTTGCAAATATGGACAACCTTGTGTGTAAACTTGTATGTAAACTTGCTGGAGGGTTTGACCCCTTATAAAAAATCGTGATGCCAAACGGCGACCGTAACAATCATGAAGGTGACGTGCTTGTCAGTTTGGGAACTGTAGTAGGTTATATGGCGACGCTGGCCGGGGACTCCCGGAAACTCTGGCGTCGATTCTATCAAAAGTTTTCCCATTAGTGAAACTTGGGGAGGAATTGGTGTCGTTCACTGTTGGGCGACGCTTCCAGCTAGTTCCCGCGCGCCAGCCTGGTCACACAGCGTGGTGGTTTATGGTGAGGGAGTGATGACTCCTGGCGGGGTAAGGTGGAGCTATATGCTTGAGGGGCGGGGCCGTGTGCTGGAGGGGTGGAGCTATATGCTTCAGGGGCGGGGCCGTGTGCTGGAGGGGTGGAGCTATATGCTTCAGGGGCGGGGCCGTGTGCTGGAGGGGTGGAGCTATATGCTTGAGGGGCGGGGCCGTGTGCTGGAGGGGTGGAGCTATATGCTGGAGGGGTGGAGCTATATGCTTGAGGGGCGGGGCCTTGTGATGGAGGGGTGGAGCTATATGCTTGAGGGGCGGGGCCTTGTGATGGAGGGGTGGAGCTATATGCTTGAGGGGCGGGGCCTTGTGATGGAGGGGTGGAGCTATATGCTTGAGGGGCGGGGCCGTGTGCTGGAGGGGTGGAGCTATATGCTTGAGGGCGGGACCTTGTGATGGAGGGGTGGAGCTATATGCTTGAGGGGCGGGGCCGTGTGCTGGAGGGGTGGAGCTATATGCTTGAGGGGCGGGGCCGTGTGCTGGAGGGGTGGAGCTATATGCTTGAGGGGCGGGACCTTGTGATGGAGGGGTGGAGCTATATGCTTGAGGGGCGGGGCCTTGTGCTGGAGGGGTGGAGCTATATGCTTGAGGGGCGGGGCCTTGTGCTGGAGGGGTGGAGCTATATGCTTGAGGGGCGGGGCCGTGTGCTGGAGGGGTGGAGCTATATGCTTGAGGGGGCGGGGCCGTGTGCTGGAGGGGTGGAGCTATATGCTTGAGGGGCGGGGCCTTGTGCTGGAGGGGTGGAGCTATATGCTTGAGGGGCGGGGCCTTGTGCTGGAGGGGTGGAGCTATATGCTTGAGGGGCGGGGCCGTGTGCTGGAGGGGTGGAGCTATATGCTTGAGGGGCGGGGCCTTGTGCTGGAGGGGTGGAGCTATATGCTTGAGGGGCGGGGCCTTGTGCTGGAGGGGTGGAGCTATATGCTTGAGGGGCGGGGCCTTGTGCTGGAGGGGTGGAGCTATATGCTTGAGGGGCGGGGCCTTGTGCTGGAGGGGTGGAGCTATATGCTTGAGGGGCGGGGCCTTGTGCTGGAGGGGTGGAGCTATATGCTTGAGGGGCGGGACCTTGTGATGGAGGGGTGGAGCTATATGCTTGAGGGGCGGGACCTTGTGATGGAGGGGTGGAGCTATATGCTTGAGGGGCGGGGCCTTGTGCTGGAGGGGTGGAGCTATATGCTTGAGGGGCGGGACCGTGTGCTGGAGGGGTGGAGCTATATGCTTGAGGGGCGGGGCCGTGTGCTGGAGGGGTGGAGCTATATGCTTGAGGGGCGGGGCCGTGTGCTAAAGGGGGTGGGGCTTTTAAATTAGGAAGGTCATGGCTGGATATTTATAGTCTTGGCCCCAAGCCAGGAAAGAGGATAGGTGAAACAGGCAGACACACAGGGTCGCGCGGGTGAGTGGCCAGCGTCCCCCTATTCACCACCCTGTACTCGAGTTCGATATTCAGCAAAATAGAAACAGACTTCTTTCACCGAGCGGTAAACAGGTACCTTCAATTTAGCTGTTGTGGGTTGCATTTTGTGTGTGTCCCTGTGTGTGTATTTACTATTTGTATTTACAATTTGTGCCTGCAGAATTGAGCTATTAGCTCTTGGACCCCGCCTTTCTAACCAATCCATTTTCCCTCAATTATGTCTATGACATATATTTTTCTAATACGCGCGCACACATCCCCAGGAAGCAACCCGTAGCAGCGTTCTAACTCCCAGGTACCTATTTACTGTTACGTGAACAGAATCATCAGGGTGAAAGAAAATCTGCCCATTTGTTTCCGCCTACGCCGGGAATCGAACCCGGGCCCTTACGACTACGACCCAAAGCACTGTTCACTCAGCGCTCGAGTGTACTCACCTAGTTGTGCTTGCGGGGGTTGAGCTTTAGCTCTTTGGTCCCACCTCTCAACTGTCAATCAACTGGTGTACAGATTCCTGAGCCTATTGGGCTCTATCATATCTACACTTGAAACTGTGTATGCGGAGCACTCCCTAATGCATTCCATTTGTCAACCACTCTGACACTAGAAAAGTTCTTTCTAATATCTCTGTGGCTCATTTGGCCACTCAGTTTCCACCTGTGTCTCCTAGTGCGTGTGCCCTTTGTGTTAGACTGTCTTTATCTACCCTATCAATTCCCTTGAGAATCTTGAATGTGGTGATCATGTCCCCCTTAACTCTTCTGTCTTCCAGCGAAGTGAGGTTTAATTCCCGTAGTCTCTCCTCGTAGCTCATACCTCTCAGCTCGGGTACTAGTCTGGTGGCAAACCTTTGAACCTTTTCCAGTTTGGTCTTATCCTTGACTAGATATGGACTCCATGCTGGGGCTGCATACTCCAGGATTGGCCTAACAAAGTATAGTGGTATACAAAGTTCTGAATGATTCCTTACACAAGTTTCTGAATGCCGTTCTTATGTTGGCCAGCCTGGCATATGCCGCTGATGTTATCCTCTTGATATGGGCTGCAGGAGACAGGTCTGGCGTGATATCAACCCCCAAGTCTTTTTCTTTCTCTGACTCTTGAAGTATTTCATCTCCCAGATGGTACCTTGTATCTGGTCTCCTGCTCCCTACACCTATCTTCATTGCATTACATTTGCTTGGGTTAAACTCTAACAACCATTTGTTTGACTATTCCTTCAGCTTGTCTAGGTCTTCTTGAAGTCTCAAGCAGTCCTCCTCTGTCTTAATCCTTCTCATAATTTTGGCATCGTTCGCAAAATTGAGAGAAATGAATCTATTCCCTCCGGGAGATCATTTACATATATCAGAAACAAGATAGGACCGAGTACAGAGCCCTGTGGGACTCCACTGGTGAGGTGGGTGTGTGTGTGTGTGTGTGTGTGTGTGTGTGTGTGTGTGTGTGTGTGTGTGTGTGTGTGTGTGCGCGCGTGTACATTAGACTACTATAACGGTTCCAAAGGTGGGGTCCAAGAGCTAAAGCTCGATCCAGCAGCCACAAATAGACGAGTACGCACACACTTTGTCACTCTCAACAAATATTCGTCTGCAAGTGTTGAAAAGCTGAGGCATCTGTAGCTTTCGCGGCAAGTGCAACATAGCCGATTTAATGGTCCTTGGTTTAAAGTCCAGTATTAGGCCATTATCCAGGCCATTACTTGCAAGGTGACGTCACAGGAAATGGTGGTCTACTGGTGCTAACCTGAACACAGCTCGTCCTCGTAAACAAAGGCCAAATGCTCGTTAATCCAGGCGCCAAACTCTTGTTTTGATTGAAAAACGTTACAAACAACTCCTAGCCCAAGCCGTCCTCAGACCAGATCCATTACATCCAGTGGTCGACCCCAAAGACGCATTCATCAGTGTTAACCTGCTGTTCACCCAAAATAGGAATGTTCTCAAATATAAATTCATATTGTTTTTACTGTGCAGATTTAGGCACTGGTTAGGTTAGGTGTTTTAGTTTCTGTTGGTGATTATTTGTAGTACGTGGGTGAAGCATTTACGGCGTTGTAGTTAGAACAAAAGTCGTCAGCGAAGCACTTGTTCCGGAAGTGTTCAAAAGTCATCACTTGTGAGTCGTGTTGGAAACCGTTTTTCATTCATAAACACGGGGGTTTGGCGAGTGCGTGGAATGAACTTTGGCCAATGTTTATGAAGACGGGCTGCCCAACAGGACCTAGATTCAGGAAGCTCTGTGTATTTCTTCGTAAGTGGGTTTGCTACGAAGGTTCCTAAGTGCGCCCTAAGAAGATGCTTAGGTGCGATTCAATAAGGTATACTTAGGAAGAAAATTGTTGGTTCACCTGCGTGCCGATAGAGGTCACTACAGTGTTTCGTTTGGCCAATCAGAGAGCAGCAACATTCTTCATATTGAAGATTTAGCGCTGGCTTATCGGAGCTCTACTGCCGCCCATTTACGTCGAATTTTCTTATAAAATTAGTATATTTCGAAGTAAAACAATGTTTTTTCAACTTCTACAGCCAGCACCGACATTGTAGTAAACAAATATGTTACATTTGTTGTTTACCTACGTAATTCTAAGAGATACTGTGTAGCTGTCCTTGTTGCTCGGGAGATGCGCTGACAATTATTGTATATATTTACTGAATTTACCCAAGGGCCACTAACTATCTAGTGGCCTCGAAGAGGACAGAAAGCCGGCGGCTTGTTAAAGGGCCCGCCAATTGTCTTAATGATATTTTTTAGCTGGAATTTGGCATTTACGGCTTCAGCGGGTAGGCGGTTCCATGGGTTTATAGCCCTCTTGGTGGAAAAAAAAAACATCTGTTTTCAGTCCTACTTGAGAGAACATACTCTCCAACACTATATCTGTGATTGTCCTGTTATCAGTGACTTCATACCAAATGGTATGAGGTATTTTGAGCTCTGTAATTACTTCATACACTCAGGAATATTGGAAGATATTCTTGTGCTGCACCCAGATTTTGCCAGTGGAGGCTAATAGATCAGCATTAAGTATTTTGTTCTCTCCTAATTCCATGTATGACTGGCCATCCTGTGAGGTGAGGATGTTGGGTGAGCTGGTAGCTGGTTTTGATCTACACTGTGTTGTCCTTTATACAGAATAGGAAAGCAGCACATTGCTGTGTATACCTAAACATGTTTAAAAATACATTGTTTGAGAGGAGTTTTGTAGAAACTGGTAAGAGTAATTATAATATAATGTTTCCATGATTCAGTGCTTACCTCTTGTGAAAATTGCTTACAGTTGTTTAGTCAGAGTTGATTTGTTTTTTGTATTGAGGCTGGTATTTTCTAAATTGATTCCATGTACAGTATGTCTAACCATCCTGTGAGATGGGAGTATTAGATAAACTTATAGCTAGTTTTTTATCTACACTGTGTAATATTCCATATAGAATAGGGTAGCAGCACATTGCTGTGTATACCTAATCTTCTTAATAACAAAAATCAGTAATAAAGATTTTAAATTATAGTTTGTATTATTACAAATACAGTACTGTATTATCCTTATTAAATTATGTTGACCATGGATCATTAAGATCTCATGTTGATATGTAATACAAGTCATATTTCTTTTGAACTGCTAATCCATGCTAATCATTCATTAAATTGTGCATTATGTCTCAATTTTTCACTTCCTTGGATATACTGTACAGTACAAAAAGATAGGATAAAAATAAACCAGTAATATTTCTTTTATTATATTTTTCATTTAAATAACTGCATCAATATTTTACAGCTGACAGGATTTGTTTTACCATACAGGTGCATTATTTGTTAAAAAAAAATTGGTTTATTGTTACACACAATGGTGCTACATAGCCTTCCCAGCTTGGTGCCTTCTTTTAATACTTACTGATTAAAAAATAAATAATAAATACATTTTATTCAGGAAAAGTACATACAGTTGATTTACAAACATAATGTTGGATTTATAGACAGAGCTAGTACATACAATACCTAAAGCCACTAATACTCATAGCATTTCGGGCAAGGTGTGGGGGAAAAAAACACAGACTAAAACTTAGTAATCGGGATTAGGTATAAATTGTGTTGAAAGAAGGAATAAAAAATACAAAAAGGGGGGTTAGCATAGCATAACTCAGCAATTGCACATGTTGGTGAACAGCGTTGTTTAAAAAATAGCAAGACATGGGTTGACATTTAGGAGGTAAGTTAGGTTACATGGAGTTAATTAGGCAGTACTTGGTTTAACTCTTAAACTGGTTGAGAGAGGTACAGCCTTTGACATGATTCGGGAGGTCATTCCACATTCTGGGTCCCTTGATTTGTAGAGCACTTCTAGTTTGGTTACACACAGCCAAATTGAGTAACAGGAAGAGGTCTTGGACACAAATTTGTTCCATGCTAAATGTAGAGGAATCAGCTGAGTATTCCTCAAATAAAATAAGTTGCCTCAGCTTATAAGGTAAATAAAATAAGCATTTCTCAAATAAGTAGCTGCCTCACCTCACTGCCTTACTGCTACATAGCCTTCCCGGCATGGTGCCTTCTTTTGATAATTACTTGTTCCACACCCAAATTGTATAACAGGAAGAGGTTTTGGACCCCTACTTCCCTCTCTCTTTTTTAATAATCTACAGTATATAGTCATAATTATAGCTTTAAGTATTCAATGAATAAAGTTTGTGACATTTTTACCCTTCTCCTTACCTAACATCATTTGTGCAGCATATTTTTATTTTATGTCTCACCCAGATTTAATTTCAAAATAAAACCAAACTAAATAAATTAGAAATGGGTATGTATAGCTAAGGTATACCCTTACTACTAGGTGAACAGGGGCATTTGGTGATAGTAAATGATCCCATCAGGC